CAGGTTGGGCCTCAGGGCAGGTCTTGGCCTCAGTGGGAGTGTCTGGGCCTTGGGAGGGCCTTGGCCTCAGTGGGCAGGCCTGTGCCTTGGGCGTTCCTGAGCCTCGACGGCTTGGCAGAGGGCTGGTCTAGGCCGGGGCAGTAGAGGGCTGAGGGTAGTGGCTGCAGGGAGGTACTGTGTGTATTTGCTGACATGAAAAATGCCTCTCTCAGTCTCTCTGTACCTTGGGTACCCCAAATTTCCTGATATCCGCGCTGATATCCCTCTCTATTTGTTCGGCTTTGTTATATTTATGCTTCCTTTTCTCTGGAAATGCAGCCTTCTAAGTGGGGTTGCTCTAGCCCTGCATTCCAAGGTCTGAAGGGGGCAGAGGCACTTGCCGGCATGGGTGCAGAAGCGGGAGCTGCGTGCAGGCAGGCAAAAGCTCAAAATGCCTGTAATTCCTAAGCAATTTGATCTTTTAAAAACACGAGTTCAGAATGTTGAAATATAAGCTCTTATGTTTGTTCAAAGGCTGTCTGTCTGCTAGACAGAGGTTTCTTATGTGCGATTCCGCCCCTTTTCCCCGAGACTGCCCTACCTGAGCTGCCTGGTCAGGGAAACGCTAGACAGAGGTTTCTTATGTGCGATTCCGCCCCTTTTCCCCGAGACTGCCCTACCTGAGCTGCCTGGTCAGGGAAACGCCGGAAGTCCTCTCTGCCTATTTACTTTTGTAGGAGTACTCTTGCTTCTCCTGCTACATGGGAACTTGTGTGTACAGAAAAACATTTGCAGTGTTAATGTTGAAGAGCCAGAAGTTCACAAAACACATAAATGTGACTAGTAAGTTGAGAAATTCATGTTAAGGAAACATGAATGGACCTATGTTTGGAGTGAGAGAAAGAACAGCTTGCAACAGATTGTACTCACTCAACTCTCAGGGTAAAGTCTAGACTTGTTTCTACCAAAGCTCTTGAGTGTTACTTCCTGTTAGGGTGGGTCCAGGCCAACCCAGAAAGGAATATGGGAAACCCTACTTATCTTACTGGAGGGAGGCCAGGCTTGCATTCCTTTCCCACGTGCCCCCAGGGACAGTGGGAAATCCCCACAGGAAGTAGATCGAGTGGATCCATGAAGGCACATTGTTGGTGGGTGCTGTCTAGTCAATTCCAGCTCATAGCAAGTCTTCAGGGTAGGACTGTCCCATTGGGTTTTGTTGAAAAGGAGATTGGGGGTGGCGCCCGACCTTCAATTTCACAAGTGGGGAGGAGGAGAATCACCAATATCAGCATCAGCCCAGGGCAGATTCTTACAGGACTCCAGCCGTCTGCCTTCTCTACCAAATCTAACAGTAGTTGTTCCTCTCACAGCTTTTTCTTCTCGGCTGAAGATGATGATTCATTTCAGTGGCCACAGCAGACTCTGAGAAAATATGTAAAGTTAAGGGGTTTATTAGAGAATAACAGTTGACAATTTAGAATCAGAAATGCTCAGGACTCGACTCAATTGTTCAGTCAAGATAGCTTCTTTTCTGCCATGCCCACAGGCTGACCTTCCTCGGACTCTTGGCCCTTTGACCTCTGCCCTGCTCTAGCAATGTTACAGAGCCATTTTAACTCTGCTGAAAAGTGCCCAGAGCCCCTCCACTCTGCTACAAGCCTCAGTCTAAAGGCTCTAGCTCCATGGGTCAGCAAAACTAGCTCTCCCAATGAAGTGATCAGAAATACTCCACTCCACAAGCAAGCCTCCTGCCCGGAGGTGCTCAGCTTTGGTCACTCTGTGAGCCAGAAAGCCTACGCTGTCTCCTGCTCTGGCTCTTGGTTCTGTAGCTGCCATTCCTCTAGTGCCACAGCTCTGTCACTCCATCTAGGAGTTAAGCATGCAGGAATTTCAGGGTACAAAGGACAGGCTCCACTCCTATAGGTCCCCCCATTTCTGCTTCTGAGATGATTCATTTTATACACACATTAGAGTTCCAAGTGTTAATAATCACAATTAACCCTGTTAACTCACAACTGCATCACATAATCCTATCAGCATCTTCTCCCACTTTCTCTTACCCAGACCCTTCAGGAAAAGTAGTTGTTTTGTGGGAGTTACAAAGGCTGTGTAGACGCGCCATACGAAGTAATTCACTGCATTGCAGGTTCCCTAAACTGTAAATCTTTAAAGGAGCAGACTGCCAGGTTTGTTCTTCCATGGAGCCGCTGGTGGATTTGAACCTAGACCTTTCAGTGACCAGCCTGGCATTCAACCATTGTGCCACCAGGTGTCCTGGAAGGGGACATTAAAATCCAAGCCAAGCCCACTGCCACTGAGTTGATTCTGACGCATAGTGTGATAGGTAAGGTTTTGTGTCCACTTAACTGGGCCTGAATTCTCAGTGGTTCAGCACTTAAAATGTTATCATTTCCTATGATGAGATCTAATGTTATCTGATGTGACTGTCCTTTGGGTTGTAAATCCTCACTTCTGTGATGTGAATGGAGTCCTGGTATGGTGCTGTGGAATAAAGCACTGGACCACAGGGTTGATTTGAATCACAAGAGCAGTGGTTTAAACTCACCAGCTGCTTCTTGGAAACCCTTTATAAGGTCAAGGAGCTCCTGGTAGCGTTGCTGTTGTTGTTGTTGTTTTGCTATGTGCTGTGGAGTCAGTTCTGACTCATAGCAACCCTGTATAGGGTTTCCGAAGCTGTCAATCTTTACGGGAGCAGAAAGCCTCATCTTTCTCCTGTAGAACAGCTGGTAGTTTCGAACTGATAACCTTGAGGTTTGCAGCCCGATTCATAAACACTACGCTACCAGAGTCGGGCTGTGAACCGCAAGGTCAGCAGTTCGAAACTACCAGCTGTTGTGCGGGTGAAAGATGAGGCTTTCTGCTCCTGTAAAGATTTATAGCCTTGGAAACCCTGTACAGGGTCACTGTGAGTCGGAACCAAATCCATGGCACACAGCCACCACCACCACCATGAGTCAGAACTGACTCGAATGCCCTTAACAACAACAACATGATGCTAATGAGGTTGGGTGTAATCTACAGCATTAAGCTGTATCCTGAGTTTATCTCTTTTGAGACATTAAAGGAGAGAGAAATTGAATAGCGAGAAAGGGACCTACTGTGGCACTGTGGGCTAATGTGCTGGGCTGCAAAGTTGCTTTGAACCACAAGATCGGCAGTTCAAACTCTACAGAGTCGCTATGAGTCGGAATGAACTCAACGGCATTTAACAACAACAACAACAACCAAGGAAGGAGCTGGAAGTAGATGCCTGCACTATGAAACCCCTAGGACCAGGGAAAGAATGACACCAAGAAACAAGAAAATCTCCAAGGATCGCTTGGCCTGTTGGTGCTGGAAGGACGTTACTGGAAACCCAGAGCTCTGAATCAGGACTTCTTGTCTAAACTGAGACAATGGACTTCTGTTTGTTAAATCCATCCTCTCGTGGTATTTCTGTCTTAGCACCACTAGAGAGCTAGGACACATATTGCTGGCAAATGCCATCAAGTCTGGCTTTGTATAGAGTTTCCAAGGAGCTCCTATGCGTTTGAATCACCAACTTTATCATTAGCAGTCCATTATTTATCTTAACAGTGCCACACCAGGACTCCTGACAACCTAATAAAAGAGTTCTGAGTCTGGAAATCTCTATGGGAATAGACAGCCTCAACTTTTCTCCTGAGGGATGGCTGGTGGGATTGAACTCCTGACCTTGCAGTCTCCAGTGCCTAATCCACAGCACCACCAGTGCTCCTTGAAGAAGCATTTGTTGTTGTTGTGTGCCATCGAATCAGTTCCAACTCATAGTCACCTTGTATAGGGTTTCCAAGGCTATACATCTTTATGGGAGCAGAAAGCCCCATCTTTCTCTCTTTAGAGCCTCTGGTGGGTTCAAACTTCTGACCTTGCAGTTAGCAACATGACTTGTAACCCAGTACAACATCAGCACACCTTTGAGGAGTCATTGGTTGGTTGGTTGATTGGTAATATGCCATGGAGTCAGTTCGGCGTATAGGGTTCCGATACAGGGTTTCCGAGGCTGTAAATCTTTATGGGAACAGAAAGTCTCATCTTTCTCCCACAGAACACCTGGTAGTTTCGAACTGCTTACCTTGAGGTTAGCAACCCAATTTGTAACCACTATGCTACCAGAGGAGGCATTGGGACTTGGTTAATTCTTATCCTATGAATAAACGATGTGTTGAAGGATTCAGGATCTTGGTCTCTTCTGCTCATGTTCCTTTAACCAGAATGCCTTCTGCTATGTTCCTGCAGGACCTCCAAGCAGAAACGCCCCTTGGTGATCTGTGGCATCATGACTTCTGGGGCAGTAAACTGAGCAGCAACACCAGCCACAAGTCCTACCGACCTCTCACCGTGCTGACGTTCAGGTGGGTATGGATGGGAATGGTGCTCCCAGGTTAACTGCATATCCTGTTGCCTTTGAGTCAATTCCAACTCATGGTAACCCAGGAGTGTCAGAATAGAACTGTGTACAGAGGGTGGTCAGTGGCTGTTTTCACACAAGTGGACTTCCAAGCTTTTCTTCTGAGATGCCTGGGTGGGTTAAAATCTTTCACCTTTCAGTTTGCAGCCAGCATCTATAATTGCTATGAAATTATAACCAACCCATATACTTAACAACAAAACATACAGATCTCGTCGAAATACATGTTCACTCCAACTATTAGGAGTTAAAGTGCCCTTGATTTGGTTCTGGCTCCTGGCTACCCTGTATAGGGTTTCCAAGGAGCAGCTGGTGGATTTGAACTGCTGACCTTGTGATTTGAAGTCCAGTGCTGATTGTATAGCGCCAAAACAGGAGCCAGTTAGGAATTAGGGCATAGTGATATTGAGAAGAAGACCCCTCAGTAATGGATTAATAGTGTTCACAAAATGGATTCAAACGTGGTAACAGTTCTGAGGATGGCACAGGACTGGGCAGTGTTTTGTTCCATTGTGTGTAGGCTTGCTGTGAGTCAGAAATGGTTCAAAGGCACCTAACAACAATATTGAGGGAAAAAACCTTGGGTGGGTGCAGTGGTTAAGTTGTTGTTAAGTGCCGTAGAGTCAGTTTTGACTCTTCATGACCCTGTGTCGGGTTTTTGAGAAGCAGCTGGTAAGCTTGAACAGCCAACCTTGCAGTCCAGTTCATTATCCCACAGCACCCTGAAAAGGAGCACTTTTTCTTTTTTGGGATCAGCAAGTTACACATCTGTCTTAACTGCAGATGTTTGTGGAGAGCCAGGAGTAACGTGTGATATATTTTCTTGGAATGTGATCTTGCCCTTTTAAGAACCCACTCAGGGCACTTAAAAACTGTCTGGCTTTCCCCTCTCCAAGTATTAAATGACACTCCACTTTAAGACACCCTTTTCTCCCACTTTTCTGTGTGCAGTTAATTATGTTCATAACCTTTTCCTCATCCCTCTTAGCTCGACCCATGTTATTTATCTTGATACTATTTTTACCAGCCCTGCACAAAGTCTTTCTCTTCTTGTAATATTTTCATACTCACAAGTGTTTTCCTTCAGATGGTTTTCATTTTCTTATGTGTGTTTCTATGTATCTAACGTGAGCATCTTTTGTTTGCTGCAGAATTAACTACTATTTGTCAGGAGGCTTCCATCCAGTGGGTTTTCACATGGTCAACATCCTCCTGCACAGTGGCATTTCTGTCCTCATGGTCGATGTCTTCTCTGTGCTGTTCGGTGGCCTGCAATACACCAGTAAAGGACGGAGGTTACACCTGGCCCCCCGAGCATCTCTGCTAGCTGCATTGCTGTTCGCTGTACATCCTGTGCACACAGAATGTGTGAGTATCACCTGCGTGGTGTCTGCACTCAAGCAAACAATGAGAACAGATCCATATGTTGCCTTGCTTTCATAAACGAAGATTCCTTTAAGTACTTGTCTAAGAGTTATAGAATGTACCCTATTTTTTGACGCATAATCTGCATACCCATAGGATGCTTATAGAGTACATAGGAAGCTCGTGCATAAGGGGGCTCGTGGTTTGCAGAACCAAATAATGTGCACATTATTGGTGTAAAATGAGTGTATGCTCTGTTATCTCTTATGAAACAATGTGGTGTATACCGGCTCTATGAAGACTGGTAACGACAGTATGGTATGAATTTGGCCGAGGCTGGTGGTGGTTCAGTGTTGGCAGCCTCCCTTCCATGCAGGAGATCCAGGGTCAGTTTCCAACCCATGTGCCTCATGATGCTGAGCTGGTTTCAGCAGAGCTTGCATAGTAAGACAGACTAGGAAGAAAGACCTGGTGATCTTCTGAAAATCAGCCAGTCAAGACCCTTTGGGTCACAGCAGTTCGATCTACAACTGGTCATGGGATGTCACAGGACTGGGCAGCATTTTGGTCTGCTGTCCAGTGGGTTGCCATGGGGCAGGGCCACTGGATGGCAGCTCACAACAACATGCCTGGGCTGATTCTTTTCATTTAGCTTATTTAACTACATCAACTCGAATGATGTGGATATTGGATATTGCCTGGCTTAGGGGTCTAATGGCCAGAGGCTAAGAACCTTTCTTCAGTGAAGAATCTGATATAAGATTCCTATGTTAGCTGAGAGGTTTATAATTTATAAAATATTTGGTCGTATTTACCTGTTTGTCATCAAAAATCTGTGAGATGAGATGGCAAATATAACAGTTTCCGTTTTACAGATGCAGAAATGAGCTGGAAGGATGCATATTGAAGATTAGTTCGATAGTTAGAGGATGTAGGGATGAAACCCTAAACTCAGTCTCTCCAAGGGGCTGCCGGCATACTTTCAGTTGACTTGGAAAGGGGATCCCTATGCCCTAAAAATGAGATTTCTCCTCCTCCTCCTCTTCCTCTCAGCCTGAGCGAGGGGTGGAGAAATGAATAGCCACTCCCTCTTGGTAGACATGACCGGGTACGGGCAGCTCCTGCTGGATTCTTGTCCTGTGCACTACTGCTGGATTCCATCGAGCTGATGCAAACTGTAATTTAACTCCACACTTGTGTTTTCAGAAACCACCTCATCCTCTACCATATGGTACTATGGCGGTGGTGTGCCTTGGAGTCGGTTCCGACTCATTGTGAACCTGTTTAGGGTTTCTGAGGCTGTAAATCTTTCCAGGAGCAGAAAGCTTCATCTTTCTTTTGTGGAGCAGCTGGTAGATTCAAACTGCTGACCTTACAGTTAGCAGCCCAGTGTCTAACCCACTATGCCACCAGGGTACCGCATATAGCCCTTTGAAAATGAAAGTCACTAGGTTTGCTCATGTAGAAGATTTGATTTTAGTCTTCCAGTCTGTGAGCTGTACTTTATTACTTCTCTTACAATAGATTTCTGTCTTTAGTGTATTTAAGTATGTACATCTGCCTAGTTGTAATACTGAGTATTTCGAAGTAAGTTTCAAAACACTGGTTTTGTTAGACTATCTGTGTGGAGCATCGAGAATACTGTAGAGTTGTTAGCACACCTACTCCTAACACCTTATTACTTAAAATTACTTTTGCTTGGAATTTTTTGCTTAGCAAATTCAGAGAAGATAAAAGGTTATTTCTGAACAAAATTCAAAATTATTTTAAAAATAGTAAGACCAGTCTTAATGATCAGGAAGAGACTGGACCACCCTTCAGGTCTGGAAAGGAACTCACCCTTGTGGCCTAGTTTTCAGCCAAGAGATTGTGCATCTACGTAGTGGGGAGAACAACACTAGTACGGTGTGCTCACTGTGGAATAGTGGATCTTTCAAAATCAAACGAACAACAGTAGCCTAAGGGTAAAGTGGAGAAAGGATGGGAAGGTGGTGGAATGCAAATACGGACCACAGGGAAGAAGTGGGGTAACTGTTGTTGCATGGAGGGAATTGCAATCGTTGAGATGAAACAAAGTGTAGGATTTGTTGTTTGTAACACTGATGATCTCGTCTGTAAACCTTCACTCAACTCACAGTAAAAAGTTTTAAAAAAAGAGAGAGAGAGAGAGAGAGAGAGAATAAATGCAATCAAGTCGACAGCAGTAATGAGCAAGATAAGGAGTTTAGGAGGTGGTGAGTTTATGTTAATGGAGGGCAAAGATTTGAATGAGGGGGCAGAATGGTTGCACAACCGGAAGAATATAATCAATGTCACTTAATTGCACATGCAGAAACTGTTGAACTGGTTGGTGTGTGTTCTGCTGTGTGTATTATCAGCTTTTAAAATATGCATCTGAGAGGAAAACTACATTGTCAGGACCACATGAGCTCAATGGGAGAACAAACTGGTACCAGCTAGTGAGCACAGGAGACCTGCCTCTTTACTAAGGCCATTTTCTTAACTAGGGACTTCCCATTGTTATTCATAGTCACCTAAGTAGTTCTGGTAGCATAGTGGTTATGAATCGGGCTGTGAACCCCAAGGTCAGCAGTTCGAAACTACCAGCTGTTCCCGTGGGAGAAAGATGAGGCTTTCTGCTCCTGTAAAGATTTACAGCTTCGGAAACCCTGTGCAGGGTCGCTATGAGTCGGAACCGACTCCATGACACATAACAACAACAAGTAGTTCACTGGGATCCCTATAGCTTCTATTGAAATTGTGGACCTTCTCCGGAAGCCTGTTTTATAGTAGAACAAGTTCAGGAAAACCTAGCCTCTAACTAGCTCACATAGCTGTAGTATAATGAGAGCATGGAGCTGGCTGATTTTCTGCTTCCTGCGAGTTTCATTTACAAATCTTGTTTTCATTTAGATCTAAACACTATGTGGTACACATATGGCATGCAATATGTTGCAATGGATCATTTTTATATGGCCTTTCTAGCCATGGTCTTGTAACACCTACCAAATGACTGGATAGTACTATGCAAATAAGGTGCTTGTGGCCTACCACAGGGATTAGATGGCTACCTAATAGTACAAATGAGGTATATGGCACTCCTATGGGGGTGGGGCCATGCAAATAAGGTGTATAGAGGGAATTGATCAGTTTTTCCATCCTGCGAACCTTAAGGTCAGCGGTTCGAAACTACCAGCCGCTCCGCGGGAGAAAGATGAGGCTTTCTACTCCCGTAAAGATTTACACCCTCGGAAA